ATGATTTTTTTTTAAAAATTCAGATTATACACATTATGAGACTCTTGGAACTCAGCATCCGTCTCTGCAGTGTCACATCACCTGCATGGTCACACACCCGTCGGATGCACCAGCTCCTGTCTATGACTGGAGCGACGCAACTGTAAGTCGAGCTCAGAGAACAGGAACAAAAGAACGATGTGTGCATGAGAGATTCAGAGGACGCACAAAAATATTCAGAGATTTTCTTCCTGAATGTTTTGTCTCGCAGCAGCAGTCCTGGCCTCAGGTCATCCCTGACGTCTCGCTGGGTCACTCCATACCAACGGAATCCCCTCAGTTCTACCCGATCCTACCGCCACAGAGGAAAGGTGAGCTTCACACATCAGCAATCTACTGAGAGGTTTGTTTATCATTTCTTTTATTTCCTCAAGAGTAAAATTAGACCAATTGAATCTCCTCAGGTCGTAAGAAGCTCAGACTTTATGAATACCTCCATGAAGCCCTGAATGACCCCAACATGGGCGACTCCATCCAGTGGACGGACAGCGGCAGCGGCACTTTCCACTTCATCTCCAAGAACAAGGAGAAGCTGGCCGAGTGCTGGGGCCAGCGGAAGGGCAACCGAAAGACCATGACCTATCAGAAGATGGCCCGAGCTCTGAGAAACTACAGCCGCACCGGCGAGATCATCAAAGTGCGCCGCAAGCTCACCTACCAGTTCAACCCGGACATCCTGCACAGGCTGGGCTCCACTCAGGTGTCCCTGCGGCTGCCCTGTCACCCTGCACAGGACGAGTTCCAGGGCCAGCAGCAGTCGAGCCCGGCCGAACAGAGCTACTACAGCCCCTCTGCGGTGGACTGGCACAGCTGGTACGGACACTACCAGATGCAGGAGGACTACGATCTGGCCTCCAGCCTCACCTCACACAGCATAACCAAACTCTGAGGAGGAGGATGCTTTAGTAAAAAAAAAAAGAAAAGCTAGAATAGCACCTTTAGAGAACCAGGTACCTTCGACAAGGCCCAACAGTCAGATTGCACAAACTCGTAGATATAACTTCCCTACAAGCACATGTTCTTTTTTTTTATCTATGATAAATTGTTCTCTGGGAAATTGGTGAAAATTTCAAAAAAACACCAGAATCTCACGTCAAAAATCCCGACCTGTAGTTTTTGTGTGAAGCTGAGACTGAGAGAGTTTTGAATTTTCCAAAATACATTCATATCTTCATGTAGCTGATGTATTAAGGTTTAATATGTATATATATAATATTGTGTCGTGCTGTAGGATGAAATATTATTGAAATCCCTTCTACAGATTCAGCATTCAACGTTAGGATGAATTTCTATTTTCAGTCTGTAGGCATTGTTTTTCACTGTCGAGATAACTTACAATATAATAAATGCAGATAATTTCAAATATATATTGAATCCAACATATATTTTCTAATCAAGGCCTTTTCCAATGCATTTCCAAATTGTTCAAAATGGTATTAATGATTGTATTTTAAACATAATAATGATTTTTATCTAATTTAATTTAATTGTTGTGACAGCAGCAACCACTAACAAGTATTTTGTATAATGACATGTATATATTTATGATTTTCTACTTTTCATATTTATCGTGAAACGATATTTTTTTGTCAACTTTCCTCTTTTCATCATTTGTCGGACTATTTCAATATGATCAATAAATCAATATAAAAATACAAAGACTGTGTTGTAAGATTTGTCACTTTCTTCATTTGGGTGAAATATTACAACCGACGCGCTGCAAAACACGAAATTAAGACACATCCTGAGAGGAAAAATATGGCAGCAAGTGTGTTTTTCCTGAAAAGAGTGTTTTGTGCAGTGGCTGCCTCCAGGCCGGGTCTTATCTGCTGCAGCGGGGAGGATGTGGTCAGTGCTGGGAGGCTTTGTTGATGGGTTGACTGGTGCTGGTGCTGGGGCTGTGTGGGATGGTGGTCATTGTTCCTGTGAGCCCAGGGTAGAGAGCGTCTGGTGTTATGCAGAAAGGCTCCGCTCCTGTGGGGGGTATAATAAGAGGCCGGGTCCTTGAGCGCCTCATAGTCAGTTTTCTGAAATGCTCCCAAACTGTAAAGACTCTGCCACGTTCGACTCGACCTCATCTCTGATGGTAAAGATCAGACTCGCTGCAAAGGCTGACGTTAAGGGCGTCTTTATCATCAATAGCAATCCATGCATTGATCCAAGATGAATTTTGATCTTTTATCTTTATCAAAATTCTTTCCAGGACACTCAGTCTGATTTGGAGGTGATCTTAGAGTTCCTGGAGGAGTACTACAGACAGAACTCTGCAGAAAATGGTAAGAAGAAAAGCTCAAAAGTTTATTTTGATCCTTTTAGAGTCCTTGAGATATCTTGTGCTTTTTTCCAGAGGTCAAGGTGCATCACAGTGAGGCTGTGGATGAAAGAAGTGCCCCTGTGGACGAAGCATCATATGAGCAGCAGTGGATGTACTGTGAGCCACCTGTGAGCATTGAAATGTTTTTTCTTACCTCCGAGGAGATTATGTTTTCAGTGTCGTGTGTCTGTCCGATAGCAGGATTATGCAAAAACTACTTAACTGATTTTCTGGAAACTTGATCGAAGGATAGGACAAGCACCAAGAGAGAATCAAATGTGTTTTCAAACTAAACAAATAAAGTGTTTTAGTTTGAATATAAAGCTAAAAAAAATATTAATGAAAATATGGCTAAAAGGAAAATAACTAAATGTTAGCTGTAGCAACCTTACTTTTATTTAAGTGGTTATTTTATTTACAAAGATGGATGTCAAAGAATTTTCTACTTTGTAAAAAGGGAAAACTAAATAAAGTATTAAGGGGACTAAATATCTACGAGTATGCCAAATCTGCAGCTGAACTGAATTTATGTATGCATCTAGTTTTCCATGAGACACTCTCATACCATATCCGGAAAACTCAACTGTGGCTGAGGCTACTCATGATTCTGCAATCTGACATTTTTTTCTGTTTCACCCCCTCCATCAAAGATCACCAAACCTGCACCTCAGCCGCTCCTGGCTCTTGACGCCCCTCCAACCCTCGGCCAGTACACGGTAGCAACACCACCTGAGTGTGGGTCACTGCCAAACTGTGCATCAACAAGACAAACAACCAAACACCAGGCCACGGCAGCAGGGAGTGGTGAGTTCTGCTTTTTCTGGTCACTAGATACTGTTATTACCCCGGCTGCTTGTTGCCTGAGGGAAACAATACCAAGAGAGCAAATAAGAGACCTTCCCTTTACTGTAAAAAACAATGGAGCCATGCATGGATCAGCTCAGAAGCAGTTTTTACATAACCGCAGTGTTTACAGCTGTAGCGTCTCCACTAAAGGGCATCTCGCCAGTGATTTTCGGGGAATGGCTGTTTATGAGGAAATGATTAACTGTTATCAGCCCTAACTGGTGTGGTGTGGCACAGCAGCTGTGATATCGCCTAAATCCTGATTCCCGATGGCTGCAGGTAGGAAGGTGAGACTCTTTCACTTTCTCTTCGAGATGCTGGAGGATCCCAGCATGGCCCACTGCGTGTCCTGGGTGCCAGCGACTGCCGGTGTCTTCCGCTTCTCCTCCAGGAACAAGGACCAGGTAGCGACGCTGTGGGGGCAGAGAAAGGGCAACAAGAGGCCCATGACGTACCAGAAGATGTCCCGGGCCCTCAGGAACTACGCCCAGTCCGGAGAGATCTTCAAGGTGAAGAAGAAGCTCACCTACCAGTTCAGCCAGGACACCCTGACGTTACTGCAGAGGTGTCGTCCAGGAGATCTGTAATGTAAGAAAGATTTTGTATCGCTCGTATCATCTCGTATGAAACTCTACATGTGCTCTTTTTATGTGTTTTTCTAAACTTTGATCTCAAACAACTTTTCATCAACAAAGCTCTGTTTGTATATTACGAAATAAAGGAAGAAAATATGTTTTACTGTACTGTCACAGTTTAAAGTTTGGTGAAAAGTATAAATAAAACCCCTGAAAAAAAAATCTGCTGTGTTGTCTCCTGATGTAGATAGATAGAAAGATAGAAAGATAATACACATTTGTATTAAACTTTACATTTTATATTTAACTGTAACTTCAAGACTTCATCCTCCCCCTGAGAGAGAAGAGTGTGTGTGGCAGTCATATTTGATGGCTGTTGGAAACCAGAGGGTGTCAGTGTCCTCCATCACACGGTCTCGGCTGTACCCCCCCCCCCGTGACCTCATGGTTAAATCGCCTCTGTGATGTGAACACCAAATGGTTTTGCGCTCTTTGTAGTGGACCCACATGATGCTTCCCTAAGCCCAGTATTTACTGCTGGAGCCCACTCTAAGTTATAAATGGGCTAACTCAGGCTACAGGGGTCTGGTTACAGAGAAAGGCCACATAGTTCCAACTGAAGGATGAAAACAGTCTTTTTAAGGAGAGTGTGCTGTTGATTAAAAGCTTCCACTTCACACCACACCATCATGTGCTGGAGTATAAATTTCATTTTGGAGATTCAGTGTCAAAGGTCTTTTCACGTGTGATGATGATACGTTTCTGATGTCAGTAAAAATCTTTTTAAAAAGGCTGCATTCCTGCTCACAGACAGTATGGACTCAAAATAGAGCTGAGCCTCGCCTCGACTGTCACGTTGGCTTGTCTGAAGAATTAATTGTGCATGTTTCGAGTTCTCCTCCACGTTGAGACCATTAACATTCTTCAGTGGTTGTGGTATTGGAAATTAGGCGAGTGGAGTCAGTGCCATCATGTGAGTCCCTTCTCAAAACGCATTGCTGGAAAAGCCTTTACTGAGCTGATTGAGTTGTTTGTTAGCTCAAAAAGGAATCCATGCTTTGTTTCTCTGGGATGGAAGGATACGTTTGTTTGCCTCATTGGAGGGAGCCTTCGAAATGGAACGGTCTAGTCAGGCTGCTTTGACGCAATCAGTCTTTGAATGCAGCCTCAAAGGATGCGGCCCCCGGATTGAGACAGAGCTACAGTCTGCAAGGCAAAAAAAATTACTGAAAATAAATCTCAACTATTCTACTGGAAAAACTAAACTCCTTGTCTGACAACAAAACAAGAGAAAAAGGACCCCTACAAGGCTTCCTTTAAAATAAAAACAAATAGCAAGGTTAACCACAGCACCAGTCAATCAGACTTGTTTCATCTTCATGACCTCGACAGGGGACACACACACAATCGCTCGAGCTGGATGTGCTAAAAAGATTAATTAGGCCCAAAGCAGCCCCTTCGATGACATAACTCACAATAAAACCCTCTTTTCATGTCAGATACACACGTCAATGTCAAGGTTTATGACGGCTTCTAAGTATAGATCCATACGACCCCTGCCCAGGCATCTCCCCACTATTTCTTTGCCAAGTCGGAAAGCCCTGCTGTTCTTGGACAGCCTTCCTCCCGGATTAAACTGCTATCTGGCATCTGGCATCGCTGCACTCGTGCCATCTCAAACTTTTCTCTTACAAAAGAAATCCAAAGATGCTCCGAACGTGTTGTACATCATCTGAGCACAGCGCAGGATCGTCGGAGAATATGACATCAGTCAGTCCGCCCTGTGACCATGACGACACCTTTTCCCTTTATATCCCACCACTTGATTTCCTAGGCTCCTTCCTCATCACCTAACTGTGTATAATAATAATAACAGTAGTGATAACAGTAGTGATAATAACAAAAATAGAGTCCCCTCTAACGCCCCACCGAGCCTGGAAATAATACAAATTGTGTTCGCATGGCCAAAAAGAATAGGTCGCCATAAAGACACTGGAAAAAATATAAAAAGTAATTGTATTGTACTCTGGACTGCAGTTTATTTTCAGTCGATCCCACACACACTATCCTGCATAAGCTTTAAATACTTGCCAGGACACTAAATCTGCAGCCACAAATAGTCCCTCAATACATCATTTGCTTATGTTTGAGAAACATTCGCTGTAACCGCAGTGTCTTCGAGGAAGTTATTTAGCCTTTTTATTTAAATTAACGATATGTTCTCGACCAATAATGATGTAAAGATTTGCATCTGAGTTAGATGCTGATGAGATTAAACATAGAATTGTCCAAAAACAGCTGTGATCTAGTAGAACAAGTGGAAATGTTTGGTACAAGTTAGAGAGAAATCCAGCAGGAATGTTTGCTTCTATGCAGACGATGTTGTGTTGCAGCAAAAGTTGAACTAGGTTCAACTTTCCGACGCTCTGTGTTGGCACTGCCACAGCAATGGCACACTGCCCTCGACAGAGGGGGGAATTCAGGTCATATACTCTGGCTATAGCATTCTTGCTTTTTCCCCATTTGCTGCAAAAAGGGAAAAAAAGACAATATTACTGAAAACTTAAAGTCAAAATAAAAAAGCAATTTTAAAACCAAGGTATGTTAAAGTAGAAAGCTGGCACAAGAGCCAGTGGTTGGGCACAGTGATGCTGCAGATCTCCACTCTCAATTACAGAGAGGAGGAGCAAAGCCCCTCTCTATATAAGGCCTGAGAGCCTGTCCCCCCCTGTATCTGTCCCTCGTCCTCTCTCCTCCCCCACTGAGATTTCTAAACTGTATCCCTGTGCCCTTCTCATCTCCCATCACTGTGGTCCGAGGGGTCCCAGAGGTTTTTGTCTGCCACCCTCTTATCATCATCATCATCCTCCTCGTCTCTCTTCCTCCTGGACTGACTCCTACGTCTTACCTGGCCTCACACAGAGACTCGCCTCGCTGAAGGTTTCTACTCGCCTGCACCTTTTTTTGACTCCTCAACGCTTTTCTTGGGACACGGCTCAAGATGCCAGAGCCCACAAAGAAAGGTAGGAGTGTGGACAGTGAGGATGGAGTCAGCATGACGCCTTTAGATGTAACATCAAACCAGACACACGTACTGCATGTTTTATCTGATTAAACGGCTCCTTCGGTGAGTTGAAGCGGTTCGGTTTTTCTCATGTTTATGTTCTTCATTGTCTCTGATGGTGAGGAGCAGACAGTTGATAATTGCAGCAGGGAGCTCCATCACCTGCCAGCTCATTCGTAGGAATCCTCAAAGTGACTTTGACGGTGGTGTTGTATTACTGATGCATGCAGGAGAAGATCTGAGGTTTATGAACAGATCCTATTGTTGATGAGGGGTCGGGCACGTTGGATGGTCCTGAGGGATGCAGCTGCAAAAACGATGGAGGAATGTTGTCGAGTGCCGAGCCAGACGCAAACCCCTGAAGGATGATGCAATTTGGGTGAACTGAGCGAGGGTTGGGCCTCAGGAGGAGAAATAATAACTTGACTGTGTTTGTCTCTCTGATGACTGGAGGGAAAGAACAGTTCAGACCCCCTCCACCCTCAATTCAGGTCCATATTTAACCGCACACATCATCTTAACCCATCCCCGTCCTCCACACCATAACGCCATTCATCTGCACCATCGTGTCCATCAACATTCCCTTTTAATCTGCTCTTGTCTGTCATTACGATATGGTGTTACTCCCACCCTCCCCGTTATCCCCGCTCTTTGGGGGGTCTGCCCGATGAGCCAGACATGCCCATGTAGAGGAAACTGAACATTTTGTTTGGGTCTTGGAAACCTTCCTGATGAGAGCTGATACAAGTTTTTAATAAACCTGTCATCCTTAGATGGACCTTAGACCTCCTCACATTTCAGGTTTGATTTGCTGTAGTTTCAACAAGGTCCGTCCTGGAATATCCTCCTTTGAATTTCTTCCTTTGTTTTTCTCACAATTGTTTTTTTTTTCTTAGCCCCAACAAAGGTTAAAGGTCCACAGTAAAGAAAATTTGAGATTTGTAATATTGGGTTATTTAAAGAAATAAACTTGACTGAGTGGAAACCCCTCCTCCCTTTTGACGAGTGGACATTGCCTTTTTGAGATGGGGTCTTTTATTGTCATTGATGCATTCAGGAAAATGCAGATTGCAAGATCCAAAATCCCAAAATAATTTAGGTTGTAGGACCGTCTCAATTCAGAAAGTGTAGGAAATTGTGTCAGCCATCAGAAACCAGTCTTTTATATGTAGCTTTGTGTGGTCGATGGTGTGCAGTGCAGATGCCCCCACGTTGATCATAAACATCCCTGATCCCCTCAGAGACAAAGCAGTGGAGAAATAGAGGCAACAGATTCCTGTCTACTGCAAACACTACCCATAAATAGCCACAGAGCAGCAGATAAATGAGGGTAGAAAAGTATTGTTCTTTAAATGAGTCTCAACAGCTGAGGAGGAGGAAGCCAGCGCTGTTGTTTTAGACACCCCACTCTCCAGCCTTTAAAAAGTCCGAACCAGAGATGACGGACTGGCTGAGTCCCCCCGTGGATCTCTTGGGACCGGGATTCTTGTCCCTGGAATAGTTCAGAATGAGTGCACTTTTAATCCCCATCCCTTGTTCCCTGCCATCTCCCTCCACTGCCACCTAACCCCTCGTCCTCCTCCTCCTCTCCTGTGCCACACGCCAAAACAGACACCTCCCTGCTACCCTCCGTTAAAGATGGATCACTCACACGTCACTCATCAAACGTCTGACCCTGTCCCCAGAGGCCTCACAGGACTGTCCTCAACCTGCTAAGTTTTGGGTTTCGGTTGCGGTGAAGCCTGTTGTCTTCACGTCGTGAGATTTACTGTCACTACGGTCCTTCACTCTCCCCGGGTCCTGTCCCAGCATTGTTGCTTTGTGTCACTGAATACCTCCTCATAAATCAAACCTGTGGTAAAACACAAGGGGAAAGGCCTGTCAGCAGCTAATTGCCGCCCCAGTGCAGCTCTCACCCTGCAAACAGGGTCACACAAGTTCTTTGTTG